GCAGTTTGTCCCATGGGATGTTTGGTCAAAAAAAACCCAAAAGCCAAAACAAACCAACCAACCCCTCATTCTGAAAATATCTTTGAGAGTGCTTCTGACTCCAGAGGAAAGCCGATTTCAACATGTGAGAACTTAGGGCATAGTACAAGGGATTGCATTAAGCATTTAAATGCGACACTGGCAGTGAGAATTCCTCAGAGCCTAGCAATAAATATCTGTATTTAGTTAAGCAGGAAAATCGCCCAACAGTCAAGTTGGGGAATGGCTCAGGAGCACAGCTTCAGGTTGTGGGTGAGGCTCAGAGTCCCAAACCCATCATGGGATCTTAGATGCAGGAATTACCTGGCTGCTGCTTAAACTTGTATAGTCCCTCCCTATACCCAGTCTGAAAATAGACTAAACGTCGCCAAGGCAGCTTTGGCTACCAACAGTCTCTGTGGGGTGCTAGACCTCTTCTGGTGTTCAGTCATCTCCTCCCTCTTGAAGTACCTCTTCGCTGTGACCTAGCAAAGACTCATTGCTTCCAACAGGCAATCTGAAGCCATCGCTGTAGAGCAAACTGGTGCTGCTACTGGGCTGTATTGCACCAGAAGTGGTATGGGACGTCTTCATTTGTTCCTTCAGTGAGCCCATGGTGAAGAGATCTTGGGGGACAGTATCTGCAATGAGGCAGGGACTGTCTGTGTAGCACCTCGTTAGGAGGACTGCTAGCAGCAGGCTCCTGGCTATATTCTGTATGAAATAACCCAGTTTCTTACCTGGCATCTTGCGTACCGTCTCTAACACCAGGCTTGGATCCGGCTGGCCCTATGTTTGAAGGAGTGGACCCTAGCAAGCGCCTCTCCCCTGATGATGCTAACTTTGTGGATGTCCTACACACCTACACAAGGGAAACACTAGGTGTTAGCATTGGGATCCAGATGCCTGTAGGCCATGTTGACATCTACCCCAATGGGGGAGACTTCCAGCCTGGCTGTGGATTAAGTGATGTCTTGGGAGCAATTGCCTATGGGAGTAAGTTCTCATTACTTATTTTGCCTCTGGTCAGCGTAGACTCCTCACAAATAGGCTTGGGTTGATGCTGGGGGATGATCTGATTTACAAGAGCAGAGAAAATTATTTTTTCCTTCTAAACTGCCTGTGCTACTCAAGATAGTTGCTAGAAACTAGACCTGCTTTTAATCCTGAAGTAGTATGTTCTCACTTTAACACCTGATCATAAACTATGGTCTTCTTATGCCAGGTCTAGAATCCTCTTTAAATCTCTTTTCATGGTAGACACTAAGTGACAAGTCCTCTTCAAGTGTCTTGCACTAACCTCTTGAATTGTTAGTGTTTGAAAAATGCTCGAGTTTGGCCATGCTCAATTCATACTGGGCTATAAAAAGGTATAGCTCACTGTACCTTATCAGCTGCTGGAGTGACAAATGCTTAAACAAAATGTATCCCTTGCAACTCTGCTTCTCTAGCAATTGGTGAAGTTGTTAAATGTGAACACGAGCGGTCTGTGCACCTCTTCGTGGACTCCCTTGTGAACCAAGATAAACAAAGCTTCGCATTTCAATGTACCGATTCCAGTCGCTTCAAGAAGGGCATCTGCCTGAGCTGCCGGAAGAACCGCTGCAACGGCATCGGCTACAAAAACACGAAGAACCGGCACACACAAAAGAAACAGCAAGATGTACTTAAAAACAAGAGCTGACATGCCGTTCAAAGGTATACTTTCCCTCTTAAAAAGAGCATAAACTCAACTCTAGGAGTGGACTCCCAAAGTCAATGTTGGGAAAGATGTAGAGGCAGAAGAGTAGCATCACCTCAAAGCAGCGCAGCGCCAGGCTTTAGTCTTTTGCTGTTACCTGGCTGTATTGCTGTTCTGTGGCATTATTATGCTCCTTCCTCCACGTCAAGTCAACAGGGCTCAGGCCATAAGGACACTCTGCCTTTTGAGCAGGACTACAGCTTACATGTGTCATACTTGCAAGACCACCCCAGCCTTAGAGCAGTGCAAGGTTTGGGGAGCCCTCCCTAGAGCGGACCTGCTGTTGTTGTTGTGTAAATGTCAACTTTGTACCCAGTAAGGGCAGGAAAAAGTGATCAATGATGTATCAATAAATACAGGGTCTATCCTTTGCCAGCCAACACTATTTCACAAAGAGCGATGCTGAGCAATGCTCTCTCTCAACAAACTTGGTTCTATCTATGCTCTCCTTGTTTCTCTCCAGTCTACCATTATCAGATGAAGATGCATGTCTTCAGCTACAACAGCTTGGGAGAGGCTGACCCCACTTTTTCTGTCACTCTTCATGGCACCAGTGGAGACTCTGAACCCCTCTCTTTAGAAATGTAAGTTAAGCTGGTCTGTTGTGCTTGCTCTAGGTAAGAAGGCCACGGGGACTAGGCAAGGTGGCATTACTCGTTTTCCTCTGGTAACACTAGCATTGCACCTGAGCCTAGCAGCCTCACTTTATCACCATTCAAAAAACTTTTCATCCAGTAACTTAATTATAATTTATTGCTGAGAAAGCAATTCGATGTGCCCAGTCCTCTAGCCTTCGTGGCTCATTGTTCAAGTACTTTGTTTTGCTTTTTCCCTCTACCATTTGGATATAGTCTGAAAGCACACATATCTCTGGAGGCATTGTTGACCTTCTTCAGCCTCTCCCAGAAGAGATACAAAGCATGAAATTCATGTCTAAGCTATGGAAGGATGGCTCAGCCAAATACACGATGCATGGTATTGAACCAGCTATCCAAGCTCACTTTGTTTAGTGTAATCAGTAATTAACTGGTGACAGCTGAATGTGGAGCACTTGATAAGCTGCAAAGGGCTCTGTTTAACTTCTTGCGTGGAATGAATGAGCATCTGGCATGCTTCCATAAGAAAGAAATGTTGAGTCTCTGCTTGTCTTTCAGGCTCGATCAAATTGGCCTAAATGCTACTAACACTTTCCTGGTCTATACTGAAAAGGACATGGGTGAACTTCTAAAAATAAAGCTCACCTGGCAGGGAACATCTCAGTCATGGTACGATCTGTGGAAAGAGCTGAGGAGCTACTGGTATCGGCCTGTGAAGTCTGCCCAGGAACTGCATATCAGACGTATACGTGTGAAATCTGGGGAAACGCAACAAAGGTAATAATTGTGCTAGACTGCATGTGAACTGACATCAAAACTTCAATCAAAAGGGGAAATATTCAGAATCTAGCAAGGCAAGTTGGGGTTTTGAACTTAGCTGGTACCTTGAACTGTCTTTCCTCTTTGGTGTTACCAGCTAATGCTCGCTCATAGTGTAGGAGAGTGGGTTACTTGCCAGCAGGAGGTTGCAAACTAGGCTTTAAGCAAAACTAGTTGCTGCAGATCAAATCCAAGATGTTCTTTTGCTTTATTTAGATACTGTGACACTGTCTTGCCTGCCCTTGGGGACTAAATTAGCCTACTTCAAGATGGTTTAGATCATACCTGAAGGGTTAAAGTACTGACAATGCCAAAAATACTGAAACATAGATGGGCATGGCTATTATTTACATACATAATGTGCTGATTTGGCTCAACAAGCTAGACCTAAAACTGCAACCGGTAACATGGTGACACCAACTCCTTAAGCACTATATTGCTCCTTCTGAGATCTCTGTAATTGGAAAGCTACCTGAGCAACCAACAAGTAGTAAAGCTGCCAAGCATGTAGCACTGCACTCCCAAATCTTGTGTTAATGTTGTTCTGAAGGTAACCCAGATCTGTCAAAGAACAGCAGTTGATATTGACAATTTTCCCACCTTTTTCAGAGCTTTAAATAAGCATCACCTATCATCTGTAAGGTATTCTGCATCCGAGTTTCTACAGTCTGTGAAACATAGGGGTAGCAGAAGCAAAGATCCCCAAATAAAATATTAAAGTAGGAAATAAAACAGCCATTCAATACGCTAACGGTGTATCAAGATGCTCCACAGGAAGGATGTCAAATCAAGCGATTTGTCCTAGAATTAGCTGCAATCCATATTACATGTTATTTGTTAATCATGGAGACAACAGGTACCTTCTCTTGACTTCTGATTCCTCCTCCTAGGTTTGCCTTTTGTGTGGAGGATTCCCACCTGACCAGTATAACTCCTGGTAAAGAGCTCTGGTTTGTGAAGTGCACAGAGGAATGGCAAAAAAGGTAGGGAAAATCAGCTAAGAGAAATCCTGTCTGATGCATGTGGCTGTGCTGGGATGAGTGGAGCCAGGTTTCTTTTGTTGTTGTTTAGGCTCCTGGAACCTCTTTTTCTTTCAAAAAAAGCTAATAAAGTCTAGCCCAAGATTCCCAGCTATTAGACTTAATTTTCATGTATGCCTTGACTATCACTAACTAGGTGATATTATCCTCACTTCTGATCTTGGTTTATCATCTCGTACCTTTACATGCTTACTACCAGATTGGTGTAACACAATCCCTGGGCCTAAAGAACCTGTCTGCTTGCTGTTGTGGTAGATGCTAAAAATGAGGTGCTACAAACGCCCAAGATCCTTGCAATAGTGGAGAGCTAATTAGAGGCATCTGTTAACTGCCCTGTAAAACAGAGGAAACCTGGGAGTGCAGGGGATTGCCTCAAAGACTGTTTCAGCCTGGTAGAAGATCTTAAGCTGCCAAGAAATCTCTTAATCAAGTTTGGGCTCAACTACATGGGCAAGACACAGCTGAGGACTTGCCATGGTGTTACAGTACTGACTCCTCCTGCTTCATCTCCGGCTCGGCTAATCTCTTCTGGTTCAGGAGAGTGCAAACTCAGCCGTTGCCAGAGCATCTCAGCCCTGGGTAACCTCTCAGGGACTTTCCAGACACCTAGGATCAGTCCTCAGAGCATGACTTCCAGTAAGTCTGGTCCCAGCAGTGACAGCTTGATTGTTTCAGACTGCCTCTAGTCATGTTTTGAATGAATCCCTGTTCATTTGACTGAATGATAGTCTCCTTCAGATGAAGCCCAACCTTCTGGCCTCTCTTAAATTTCGATTTGTAAACTTACAGCTTTCTCACTTCTAATCCGGAGACAAAGTGCTTGTTAGGGCTAGCAAAGCCCTGTGGAAGTCGTGCTTTGCGCAGCCCTCTTGGGCGGCAGAGCTCAGCTCAGAAACGCGAGCTGGTACCGTTCCAGGCTTGGCAGAAACTAGCAAGCTGTGCTACATACAGCAGCAAACAATTCTGTGAATGAAACCCCTGTGCAAAAACTTGTTGCTCTGCCGCAAGGCTTGAAAGATCAAGTAAATATTCCTGCAGGTACAATAAAAGGTTGCTTTGATATGCTACTCTGTAACCCCCATAAAACAGAATTGCTGGCAGATGTGCCCTTCCTGCTTTACTCGTGGAGTAAACAGCTTTTGCACGAGGCAGAGGAGCAGATCCGAGCTCCAAAGCACTATGGTTTCTAGGAAATGATCCTTCCTCCCAGAGATCACGAGCAATTACTTGCTGTTCAGCTCTCCATTCCTGCCAAGTCACTGGAAGATTATAGTTCCCTACTTGGAGATTGAGTCAGCAAATGTCTGTCCACCCTGAATGGATCTGAACAGGCAGAGTCTAGCATCAAGACCTGTAATTTCTGTTTGCAGCCTACTTCCATGCATAACGTCTGCTCCAGGCTCTCACTGAGTAGCTAATGGGCAAAGTGCTGCTTTGACAGAATGAAATACCAACCTGTACTGTCTAAACCTGTTCTTAGTGTCCTAGAGGTTCTTAGGAATTATTTATTACTCCTCTTAATTTCTACATTTAACTAGATTTTTTTTCCTCTCTGCTTTTCCCAGATCTGTCTCAAATTTGCTCTGAAGACTCCTCTAAAGACTCACAACTGAGCAACCTAGATGCATGAAGACCACATAGGTGGAAAAATGCTCTGGCACAAATCTGGCTTGGTAGCGCTTAAAGCAACTAGCTTTTCGGGACAAAACATCTTAGGTCAGATGCAAGAAACTGAGGAGCAATTGATGGACTGTGGTCCTAGACCTAGAATAACTAAAACTCCATTCTCCCTTCCCCCGGAGCCTGGTTTGTGCATTTCACTTTACCTTGACCTGTTATACGCTGCATTTCCCGCCTGCTCCCATTAACCAGAACTACAGATGAGATCTTCACAGATGTAGACCTCAGCAATGATCTTCTGGTCTGCCTGCCAGTGGAGTTGAGAAGATAACCACGCTAACTGCCCATCAGACCGCTGGTGACAGAGCTGCCAAGAACAAATTAGCATCTAGCGTAGGAGTTACCGTGGGTCCGATAGCACTATGGGCTGTGGTAAGACGAGACCAGCACAGGTCAAGTGTGTAGGGTTGTTCAGGGGAGGGGTGGGAATAAGCACAATGCCACTTAACTTCACGTTGTCCTTTGCTTGCCTTAAAAATAATGCACTCTGTGTCTGGCTGATACTGAAATCTCTATATATTACCTTAGAAGAAGGTAGTACTCCGTCCTCCCTGTACCTAGGGCAAAGCACAGTGTAGATGGCAGGTGATGGCGTTGGCAGCTGCTCCTTGCTCCTCAGGCAGTGTCGGCAGCAAGACTGTCCGCTCCTATGTGTTGATGTCTTTGTAAGAGGCAAATGGCAGCTGCCCTTCTACTGACTGTAGGGGAGGAGGAAGGTAATGAACCGTACTGCTTCAGGAGAGTTTTGCACCAGTCCTTTTAACTACTGAGAATGCGTTTGCCTCTGTTTAGATGCTGTTGTAGTACCAGTGCATAATTAAGACCTTATTTTTGTGCAAAGTATTTAACTGAGCCAAACAGACGACATCCTACCCTCATTGCCACAACATCCCGTTGGATTCCCTGGTGCCAGATGAACTTGGCTTTGCTCCGAGTTTGACAGTCTCCCTACAGCTGTCTTGTTTGCTACAGCAGAGTGGGCCTTGTCAGAGGTGAACTAGATTTTTTTTTTTTAATTTTATTTTTGGAAAGAGACTTGGTGTAACAACTCTTGAACTTTTGGCATGCAGAAAGGCAATCTCAAAAAATGGGGTTGCCAATGGTGCACTGAGTTCTGAAGACTTAGCAACTCCTTCTGAGGCCTGCAATTCTCTAGGTTCTTTTAGAGCTTCAATCCAACCAAAGCGAGCACATTTGGAGATTTTTTTTTTCCCATGGTTTTATGCAAAGGCGTAAATAACTGAAGCCTTTGGTAAGTATCTGTGACTTGTCACCATGCCATACTTAGAGTGGTTTCAAAGCTCTATTTGTATATTGTGGTTTTTATATGACTTAAAACATAATTTATTTCTCATATTGTACATATGTAAAGTTTTAAACATTTTTCGTTTTGAGTAACACTTTTTGTAAGCCTTAAGAAAAAAAAATAAAGGGCTTTGTAAAAATCACTGAAGTCTTGTTATTGATCTACCACAAGCCTTGACATGCCTTGCCAGAACAACAGCATATGGCCGTCTTGTCCCTCTCCTGCAGGTCACTGAGACCAGCAGAAAGAGGACACAAAGGCAGAGCAGCAGCCAGGTGGGTGCTGGCAAGTAGGTGCCCTTATCCAAGCCCTCTCCAGGCTGTGTTGCCAAGGTAGGCTTGGTCCCTCCACCCATGCAACACCAAGTATCTTCAGGAATGGACCGAAGTCACCCTATTATCTACTCATGTGTTGCAGCTCCCGAGATGCCCATCGTACAACATTACAGGTTTCCATCTAGCTTTAGCCTAGCAGTGAGACCATGATTTCAACAGTGCTCAAGGGATCTTTTTTTTTTTTTTTCTTTTTTGGCAAAGCAAATATTACAAAACAAAAATCCCTGTCTGGACAGCAGTAGATGGGTTTTCTGTCTTCCCCTTCCCCACACTGGCTATAAGACATGCTCAAGCAGAGGAGACTACCAAAACCATTAACCTTTCCTTCCCACCCTGTTTTCTTTCAGCCATAGCAATACCACTACTGCTTTTGGCTGGGGGGAAAGCAAGACTGTGTTACTTGCTCTCTACAGCTATTGCAGTGAATGCAGTGGACTCTAGAAACACCACGGCTGCTGTACCAGGCTAGCCAGGACAAGTTAGGACAAACTCTCTCTTCTCTGTTCACTTCCTGCATTAATGCTTTTTTCCTCCATTGAATGTCATTCCCGCCCCCCCCCAAAATGCTTCACCTTCACCTGACTTCAATAGTTAGCCAATTAAGTGAATACTTTTAAGAAAACTTAAGCAAATCTGATCACTAACTGAGGTTTTCCCAGCAACCACACCACCAAATTTAAGGAAACCTCTCTGTGCTTTGCCTATCCCTGACACAAATTGGTGGCACAAATCCAGCAGCAACAGAAGGACTTTGCAAACAAAGTAAATACCTCCAAGCTGTGGAAGATTTACATGAAATTACTTAGTTAACCTTTTCCTATGAAAAGCCTAGCAATGGCTGGACTGCAAGGAAAACTACCTTTGTAGATTCAGCAGAGCGATGGGGAGGCTGTTTGATGCTTGTAGAGCCCCTAATTATTCTGCACCCCAGAGCCAGAGGTTTTTTTCTGATGTGTTCCTGTGGGGCTACCTTCCACCCTGTGCAAAGGTGGGAGGACACTGATACCAGAAGTCATTTACATTCATGGCTGCTTATTTTGATTTGAGATCCCTTCCTGTAGCAGTGATGGGCTACAGGACTACAGCACTACAGCTGCAGCACTCCTGCAAGTGATGAGTTCCCAGTCAAATCGGAGAAGCAATGTGTCCAGCCATCTGGGACTCATTTTTTGCATGCTACCCCTTGGATGCAGCTGCAGTGCAAGGGCTGGTGCCTCTTGCAGGGTGATTCTCCTGCAAGGACAAGCAGGTGCTGGCCCCTTTCACATCCAGCTGCCCTCTACAAGGAAAAGGGTGAGGAATACAAGGTCACAAGAGAGGAGGAACAGGCTGCAGCCCTTTCACATCGATGGGCATCCCCTCCAGGCATCTGGCCCTTCAAGCAGCAAACGTGGGCTCCCAAATGCATCACTCCTGCTGCTCCACATATTGAGGCTAACGTCACACCTCCTGGCACATCAACATGCATCCTTGGACAGTTCCCCACAATTATGAGTTTGATTGTGCATTAGGCAAGTGAACGAACAAAGAGAAGGGGTCATTTTTCTGAAGTTTCTAATGAATTTAGCATCGGCACAGCAGGCACTCCCCAAATCTGTGCCAGGCAGGGCTGAGGCTGCAGGCTGGACCTACCATGGGGCTGACCGCTGTGCTCTCAGCCGCCTGGCATCCCTCCCCCTCCCCCAGATTTATTTGGGACTGCTTTTTCACAGCCACTCCATTCAGATCTCACCAAAGGTCAGGCTGTGTCTCCAGAGGAACAATATGCCCCGCACAGGGAATGCTTTACAACCCTCCTCACCCCCCACCCGGGGCTGCCCCAGCATCCGAGTGCAAGCACCAGCTCCCGCGAGCAGCGGCAATCCCGCAGTTTCACCAGGTACACCCCAGCATCCCTGCTTTTGAAGGTAAGTTGAACACAAAGTCTGTTCGGAGTTTGCTTCTCCCCCATTTCCCAGCGTAACACCACCCCATCCGTCGGCCGCCGCTGTAAGATCGTGGCTTGGTCAGCAGAATTCCCTGACACGGGAGGTACCAGCTGTCTCATGCAGACAGATTCCAAGCTACAAAAGTCTGGGCAGAATAAATTCAACAGACTAGTTGTGTTCAGGAAGGGAAAGGCCGGCCAGTCCTTTCAGGAACAAGGACAGCACGTTCTTTGCTGGCTTCCCGTGCTGAAGTAACGAGGCAGCCCCGCTCCACCAGGTAAAGCTTTTCAGCGTTCCCCAAAAGCAGCCTCACAGAAAGATGACTGCGACTGTCCAAGAAACCCAAGATCCTGCTCCTTGGACCGCGATAACGAGTTGTAATTTTACGCCTGTTCAGATGCTGACATTCCAACATAAATTATACAGCTCATTGCCTTCCCGGCGATCCCATCCAGCCCAACAGCAAACACAAAGAACGTGGCAACTTTTGCGAATCCATGCAAAAGTATCAGGAGACCTCATGCTGCCCAGAGGGACGGGTAAAGCAGCTTGACCCAGAGCTGACCCAAGTTAAAAACAAAAATCAGACCACTTTTTATTGCTCGATTATTGGGGTTTTTTTCCTATCTCTGTCCTTTCTGTTCTAGGTTGTTTTGCAGCTGTTTCACAAAGCTTTAGGATGTTTATGGCAAACCTTATAAAGAAGACACAAAGGGCAAACGTTCAGAATCCTTTTCTTCTGACATGACTTGTAATAAGATTGAAAAATGAGGAAAAGGGACCAATAAAAATAAGGCTTTCCAGGCCGTGCTGTTCCATCTCTCCTAGCCAGCTGTCCTAATTATTGCAAACAGGCAAACCAGCTCAGACAAAGTAAGAAATGACACAAGACTTGGACCAAACCTTAAGACAAATCTGGTTGATTTTTTTTTTCCCCTCCTTTCCATATGGCTTTCCATATCCTGTTTTTGGCTGAAAACAGATGTATCCTACCAAATTATGAAGAGAAAGGCCACATTCAGCTTAGCTGGAGCTAAGCAAGTATACTGAAACAATCTTACTCCCATTGCATAAAATCTGCAGATGTTAATGAGAAGAAGATCTTTGCTCTGCAGATCTCTGTGAAACAGCCAAATCTGTTGGTTCTTTGAACAGCCCATTAAAGAAATACCCATGGCAAAGCTGGATTATATATTACTCATGCATCTCAATGGAGGGAACTTCCAATGACAGGTCTTGAAATATCAGTTGGATAATAAAGCTTGAAATTTCTCTCTAAATTTCAGAACAGTGAATCTGTCTGGTTTACAGACAACTAAGGTTATTCAGAAAGCTTGC